TTATTTCCTCTCGTCCGAAGACGACCTAGCGTGCTAGTGTCGAAAATTTACAAATAAAGTTTATTGCTGTTTCCCGAAGAATTTCTTCTATCAAATTATATTTCTCGGGATGCCTATTTTCAAAAGTGTTATTAGTTCCTCTGCAACGATGGTATCAACTAAGCCAATGAAAAGGCGGGAAAACACCCAGAACAGGCATTTGCAGATTCAAACTTCACCCTCAGTTTGCATAGGGAATAATCAAGAGGACCCTTAATGAGTAAAAGTTTTGTGTTCAGTTGAATGGGAGACAGTACTTGGCCAGTATGACTTGGTAGAAAAAACTGTTCTGCCCTATAAGCCGATCGAACAGCATGGATAAATTGTTGGTTAATTGCTCATGGGGATTATCGAACGAGGGTTGGTTGAAACTACAACTTTAGTCAGTGCTAGTTGGCTATACAGATAACTTTCATTTCAACCTATGTCAAACAAAAATTGGGCTCGATAAACGCGCTGCGCATCCTACTTGCAGTAATATACTTTTGAGTACGGCGGTACTAAAACCTATGTATTATTCTCGTTACTTTATCTACATAAGTAGCAACTATTTCGCATACATGTCTTGATTGTTTTAATGATTTCCTTGGTTCCCCAGGTCACGGCTAATAACAGTCATGTATTGCTTATGGGGATGCTGCAGTGTTCCCATTGGCCTCGTACATAAACCGACGCGTATTTCCTTCGGCATTTGAACACACCGGAAATCACATGAAATGTTTACTCTTGTACATTTGACGCACGATTGGTATTCCCACCCGAAAACACTGATTTTTACCAAACTCCGGATGGTTAATCTTAAATCCATGTTATCTGATCTTTAGGTTGGGTTGTGTGTGGTTCTATTCATCAAAGAGCCGGACTAGTAATAACGCTAGCATGGAGTTTGGTTACGCGACGAGTCGCATGGTATAAATGGAATGGCAAGAAACAAACAAAACAGCGCAACTTACCATAGTTGGAAGTTGGAAATTGCCTGCAGGCGGTTGACCGGTGCCAGGGAGTGTGTTCCCACCGAGGAAGTTTCCGAAATTGCCCAGAGAGTAGACATTCTGGGGGGTAGCCGTTAGTGGGAGACTGCGTGCGATGGAGCCGTAGGCAAAACCGGGCGGCGCCAGGGGCACGGGAGGTGTGGAGGTAACTGAACAAAAAGCAAAAACCCTAAGCACACCTTTGAAGCATTTTGCTACCTCCGCTGAATTTCAACCCTATCGAAGTAGTAGGATTTAATGGTGTGAAAACATTTTGCCACCGGTTATAAACTGCTTCCTGTCATTGTATAACACTAGTAAGGCATAATGAGTAAACAAGAACTTGAAGTTATTCGTCAAAACGGAATGAAAACAGCAAGGTCATAGTTCGGCACACTAAAAACAAAAACACGGTAAAAAACGGCTACTTGGATGGTATGAATTTTGCTCATCGATTTTCAATGCCCTTATAGTTTCATATATATTTTACCGATAAAATACACGCAAATATTCATTCATTTACTCTTTTGGTAGAAAATTACGCCTTCTTCCAATTTTTATGTTTGGAAAAGAGGTAGCTTTGGGTTTTAAAAATAAAATAAATTTGAACCCTCTAAGAAGAAGGTCACATACTTCTGATAGAATATGGATCATGCTGTATAATCAGTAGGTTATATTATTTAAAAGAAGGATATAAAATAATGCATCATCATAAACTTTTTTTAAACTCAGAGGTAACCTTTTTCAAGGAAAAGTCTGATTAAGACGTATTTTTTACCAAACGAGTACCAGAAAGAATATTTTTGTGCAAGTCACTAAAGCAACGCTTTCAAGTCGAATTAAAACATTTCAGAATTGCAGTTAATAGTTCAGGAGATAGGCCAATTACTGGCTTCCAAAGAGAGGGCACCTCTCGACAGTTTCAAATACCTCGGAGAGAGGTTGCTGCCGAATGGACAGAGTAAGGATGACATTGTCTCCCTAACTGACGCAGATCGATGAATTTTCTCAGCCTTAGGAAGTGCCTATGGACCCGACGCGATATTTCTATCCCCACGAAGGTTCGCGTGTACCGCCCATCTGTGGCGTCCGTTCTTCTACACGAATGCGAATGTTGGGCTATGCGCGTGAAAGATGAACGGAGGCTGGAAGTCTTTGACCACTACTGTCTGGAGAGCATCCTTCGAGTGAAGTACACTGAATTCATCTCAAATGAGACAGTCCGCAATTGCTGCGAAAATATTGCAAGGATATCCCAGGCAATCCAAA